TAACTCATATCCTATCTTTTATTTTAGTTAATCTATTCAAACTTGATTGATCATAAGCAATAGAATCCCTTAATCATAGGAGATAATATCTTCGACACAATTGCGGCATTATTGGTACTCCAAAGAATTTTGGAAGAATGCTACTCGTCACTTGTTTCAATCTAAGTTGAGCAAAAAGCATTACTGTTGCTACAACTTATTTGTGCATACTTCAATCTAAGCTCATCAACATGGGAGGTTTCAGTCTTGGTGTCATGGGTTCCATTAGCCTATTTACTATGGTTTTTGATCTAGGTGGAGGATGTATAATGTTCCATCTATCATTAACTATTTTTCGTCTAGATTTGAGAACAAATCCTTCTCAAGAGGAGGGGAATAATGTGACCACAAAAGTTGTCCAAGTATTGATCATGTTGCTAGGGTTCAAGCATGGATCAAGTTCTCATATCCTTCTAGGGTTTTGATGCTCACAATCTTGTAAGCTATGTTTCAAATCAAGACATTACAGATGTTGGTGTTGGATCCGCCATTCCTAATTCATGAAGATCAAGAAGTGGATCAAAATTGCTGTTTTGATTCATTTTCTAGCATAGTTATTTTACTTAGTTAGTCGTTTGTGTTAAGAATAAAAATTGAGTCAGATTGCATGTAAGATGGATCCATATAGTTGCTTGTTTTAATTGAGTCGTTTGGGCCTCTTAAATAGGTAGAATAATTCTGCCAGCTTATGTCTAAGTTGGGCCTTCATTAGCCCATTAGTTGGTTGGTTAAGTGGTTTTAATCTTAGCCCGTCTGGTTTTGTACTTTGGTTATAAATAGCGCACTTTTTAGAAGTATTATACAAGATATGAAGAATTTCTAACATTAACAATTGAGAGCTTTCTCTTTGGCTCCTTGTAAGCGTCTCCATGAATACTTTAGAGCAAGTCTCTAGTGTTCAAAACTGACTAATCAATTAGAATGCATTTGAATTGTAGTACCTTCTAACTTCAACTTCAGTTCCTTAATTTGGGTTATTCATGGGTTGAGATTAACCTTGGGTGTTGTTCATCTAGGTCCATGGTTTGTTGAACTACAGGTTTTGTTTATGGAGTTCACGTCAATATAGTCTCATATCTGCATTCATAATATGATTATGCTAGGCTCATACAAAAAGTAGATCAAGTGAAATTAATGATTGCTACTATTGAGTGTTTAAAAACTACTATAATACATATATCTTGCTTAAGTGATACATGATCACTTAAGGTGAACACAACTTTTCATCTTGTTATATTGCAAACATGGTTTATTGCTTGTCAAGCATACTATTGTCCTCATGAATTCGAATGTATACTTTATCTACTTATCTAGATTACTACTATTCTCGTAAATTCGAATGTGTACTTTGTCACAACAAAAAAAATGATTCATTAAATTAGCTAACAAGTCCAAATCCATTTGGCGATTGTGTAATTTATCGCACTAGAAAGTGTTCATTATTTGTCTTGTCAAAGAATCATATTGTAATCGCTTATACCTGACTAATCAGTTGTGTACTTTATCACATAAATACTAATAGTGTTTAAGCTAGTAGTGTGTCTTAATCCATTGAAGTTATATCGAACATCATTTCATGCACTAGTTTGCAACCAAGTAGTTGGATAGCAAGCTGTCCATTTATTGGGTCGAAAGTGAAAGGCATTTCTAAAGTTGATGTAAGTGATTTGATATAGGAGGATAAGCTCATGATGGTGGTATAAGGTGGAATTGGGTTGTCACTGACAATCAGTACTGTATTCTTTTATTATGTTGTTATTTACATTGTTTATGTGTTTCAGATATGTTTGAATATATTCTTGAAAATCTAATAGTGCATGCACACAAGAATCTCACTGGGCTATAGAGCTCACATCAAAATACGAACATTTTTTCAAGGTCGAAATATTCGGGATAAAAATAGAGCAAGAGGTTGTCCCAATATGGTAATAGTAGTTAATTGCACTGGAAAAGTCTAAAATCTAAGTGAATTTGAGTAGAACTTAATTTTATTGCATAATAATGTAATGCTTTGCCTTCAAAGCATATATTCTGAGTTGTAAAGATATTTTTCAGCAAATGAAGCTGGTGTTAATCTTTAAATTAGTGACTAAATAAGTCTTGATATGGGTTTGGCAGTCCACTGCTGGCTTTAGGGGGTTGGAGTAGTAGCAAATGTACTACTCTTTCAGCATGACAACGTACCAACAATTAGTACTTATCAGTAGACTAAAATTATTATAAGGTCCTGATTAAATTTATAACAGCTTTGACAGCTAACCCTATTTTTCTTGACTTTTCAGAAGAATTAACTACACTAGAAAGTCTGTATCTCCTAAAAACATAGCTTTGTCTACATAAGAGACTAGCAATTGGTATAGGCCTTAGTTAATTCGTGTACATTTCAACATCAAAACACACCATCAGGGCTTGAAAACAGCAAAGTCACATGATAACTAGGCAAAGAAATAGAGTATATAGGAAATAGAAATAGAGGGTCTAGAAAAAGAAATGTAGGGGTTGGAAGAAAGGGCACATGGAGCAGTGTGTCCTTCTATGCTTAATAATTTGGTTCATGGGCTGCAAGGCTTCGGCAATGCATAACTAAATCTAGAATATGGATTACCGCTACTACTTGTACAGTCTAAAAGCAAAGATAAATGATTTGACTTGTGGAGTATTATTGACATTAGCCCCAATTTAGCATTTAGTCTACGTTGGTAAATTTCTAGAGACAATGGTGATGTTAGTAACTAATTGTGCCATGGAAACTTAGTTTTATGCAATGTAATTTACTCTACCATGAGGAAAAACAAGAGAAAGTTCAATTTCCAATAACTCACTTATGCTTTTTCGACAGCCATCAAAATCCTAAGGAGGCAAAGAAAGAGTGGAGAGAGCGAGAGGAAGCAAAGAAAATTAGAGTTCAAAAATTGTCATCTAGAGATTATTGCACACAGAAATTAAGGTTAAAATCTAAGTTTTGCCTCAGATCTTAAGTTGATCTATGGGACAAGTCATTATTTGCACTACCAATATCACAAAATTACAGATCAAACTTTTTTTTAAACTCAATCAAGCCAGGTTTTTATATGACCGAACATTTACTAGTTTGCTAACTGTGTTGAAGACCTTGTAGCATTAAGGTGTTAAAGACAAGGTTTTCCAGGGAGAAGCGGCAATCAAAGTCAAGCCATGCGTTGGATGTGTTTAGGTTTATCTTTTACGCAAGCTCTAAACTCTTAAAGTTGATTAAACTCTATGTCTCACCTTGTTAGATCAATCGACTAGCGCGTTTAGGTTAGTCTAGTAGTGTTATTTTTGGTAGGTGTTGTGTCTTTTCGTGAATGGTCTAAAAATATTATTATAAATTATTTTCATTCTTTCCTCTGATCATTTTTTATTGTCAAAAAATCCATTTTGAATTAGGGAAGATCAAGTTTTCTTTGAAAATAAAAATTTCGGATTGCTTACCATTAATAAGTTGATTTGTTTGATCTTCTAGATCTTCTTGTTTTTGGAAATTTTCTCAAATCTGCCTCGAGTTCGAATTTGAAAATTATCTCTCTAATATATTTTTGAGTCTAGATCTATTTTCAATTCAAATCCAACAGTTTCTTACTATATGTCGTTGCAAGATTATTTGACGTCCAAAATCATTCCTCTTTTCAAATTAAATCAAAAAATGAGATTTCTACCTTCTGGAGTCCAAGAGATAGTTTTGAAGTATAAGCTCTACTAGAATTGTGACTCGCGCATTAGGATTTCAATCAAAATAGTAAAATTATTGTTGTTGAAAAAAAAAAGTTATTTGAAAAAAAAAAGATTAAAAATTTAAAACAATACCAATTTTACTGTTAAGTTATATGAAATTTTGTTATTTTAGATGAAAATAAAGGATAAAACATTTCTACTCATGAATGGTATGCAATGACAAACTAATCAACTTGGAAAAACTCTGAAATTTCCTAAAAACTTATGTTTAATTGTCATATACTCTTGCACTTGCTTAAAAAACTTTATCCATCCTTAAAAAATTCCTTTCTTTTGTCATATTGTACCCTAATAATTTAGTGTATTCTTAAACTACTTATGATTCTATGAATACCAAAAAAAATTAAATTACAGCTGAGCTATTAGATAACATTTTGTTAAAATAACTTTATATAAAAAACAAAAAACCAAAACTAAATAGAAAAACACCGAAATAAGATAACAAATATATTACAAACAGTCCAAAAAATACACAGGCTACATCATTATCTTCCTTCTCATTACCCTCTTTGTTATTTATCTTATGTTGTAACCACATGTTTCTTACTATAATCTCCCTTCCTTTTGCAATAGTCCCAGCTTAACCCCACTACCTCGTCGATGCACCGCATAGCCTCGCTATCATTATAATTTCTATATTTATCTTATATTTATGTATGTATAACACTAATAATGATTTAACTAATCATTCTTTTAATTTTTAGCAAAAAAATTGAACATGAAATAATGTTAAAAATTGCTTTAGGGTCTGTTTGTTTGGGTGGAAAAGGTTTTCTGGAAAACATTTTCCATATTTTCCGTTGTTTGGTTGTCAATTAATCTGGAAAAATAATTTCTCACAGAAAATAAGTTACAACGATGGGAGGAAAATAACTTCCTTATCTATCATTGTGAAGTTATTTTCCTTTTGTAAAAGCAGTTTTCTTTTCACAGCATCCAGCAAGGAACCATCGATAAAAGACCAATCTCTTCTTCGGCAATGATAACAGACCATCTCTAGCGACATCTCATCAGCAAACAAATCCCTTCTTCGCCGGCGGCATCTCCAACTCCGGCAAAGACCCACTTTCGAAGGTAAGCTATTCTGGCATCTCTCTCTCTCTCTCTCTCTCTCTCTCTCTCTCTCTCTCTCTCATTTTTTTCCTTTAAAAGCGGCCAATATCAACGGCTCATCCCCACTCTGGCAGCGACATCTCATTCTCATTCCTACAATAGCATTTCCAACAAGGGTAAAGACTCCTTAAGTATTTCCAGAGGTATGATGGTCTCTTATTAGTTTTTTTTCCTCCCTATTCCTTCGAAAAATTGTCTAGAACTACTGGTGTAGATTCTTGAAGTTGGATTTGAATGAACCTTTATGGGTTGCTTATGTTTTAGTTTGTTCTTACCTGATTAGGGTTAAATCTGATTTGATTGATGCTAATGAATTAATTTGGCTGCTAAGTTTTGGGGGCTTTATGATTCTTGAAATCAGAATTCGGGTAGGGTAGTGTAGTGATTTTCTTACAATCTGGTGAGACCATTTGTAAATAGTTGACAAAATCTGATTAGGGAGGAAAACAGTTTGCTTGTGTTCTTCCCAGAGAGCAGTAAACTTTTTATAAAAAAAATTCCACGTCTCTTCTATAGTTTTCAATATCCACAACTTATATTCTTGCAATAAGATGTAGGCATTAAACAACCAATAGAATATCATTATAGTTGCTAGGATGTCACCACATATAAGTAAGAATTAACACATGAAAAACCAGTTTGAGAAAATCATATTGATGCACCACCTGTTTTACTCATTGATGCTTCTAGTGAAAATGTAATGATTTCTTATTGAAGAAGCTTTTAGTTATTTAGCTAACTAGGAAATTATGCCCAATATCAGATTTGTAACTTTTTGCCCAATAAGGATATGACTTAGTGTTTTAGGATATGTTTCCCCTCAACAGTTTAATAATGTGTTTCAAAATGTTTTGGATACATTGATGTTAAAATTTCATAGATGAGCACTGCAATCAATATGTTCTAGGAGTCTTAGTTTTCCATGATATTCTGGATGACGAATCACTGTTTTCTGAACTAATCGAACATCATCTCATGATTGCAAGATTATAGTTATCCTTTTCTTTCCAGAAAGGTTAATCATTTTTGTCTTTCATTCCTTTGAGTGCCAAGAGGGTAATATTTGCAACAATATGGCTAATCAATATTTAGAGTTTGCAGCATTCTGGGAGCAATGAAGACATTGAAAAGATGTCTCAACAACTTGGAGAAGTGGCACCTGCTTTGAGAAAAATTAGTGCAAACAAGCTTGATATCTACCAACTACATGATGAGATTATGAAGATAGAAGGTTACAACGAAGAATTTCTGGACTTGGTATTCGATCATTTGGTGCAAAATGAGAAGCTAGGAAAAGCATTTATGGTGAAGAGTCAAAGACTTTGTTTGTTTCTCTCGAGAGGTTCAAGAAAGATTGGGGCGTCGAATAAAGTACGTGAACTGAATTATGCAATTGCCTTGTCAGAATAATTGTTTCTTGTATGGCCTATGAGTTATAATATGTGAGGACTCGCAAATTTATCTATTTTAAACTCCTATTATTAGCTTATTTAAATATTTAATTGCCCGTTTGCCCCGAATATTTCATTTCAATCTTTTTAGATCCAATTACATGGAGCTATGGCTTACGTGTATTTTTAAAATGACTTGTTACAAAAATTTAATTTTTGAAAGTTCATTTAGTGAGAATAGTGAATGCGCGTTTGGAGACAATAATCGATTCGAGAGGACAATGAGCTTGGAAAATTGGAGTCTTATACATTAGCCTTAAAATAGGCATTTTTATGCCTAAGTACTCAAGTATTAGTTAGTTATACTATTGTTATAAGAATTTCTTGGAAGTTTCACTGTAACGCGTGCAAATCGAAAGTTCGCGTATATCGAGCTGGAGCGGTTAATTAGAGATTTAAGGAATTTATTCTTGACTATTAAGAGTGAATAATTATAATGTTTAAGAAAGTGCATTGGAGGTTTAGTGCACAAGTGAAACGAACCCGAGAGGAATCGAGCACAAAACGTGCGCAAACGCGCACTATTCCTAGTTGACTTTTGAAACATTCTTGTCCACAAACTTATAAGTTTCACAAGGAAGCTTCTTCATCAGAAACGTCACTTCCTTTCTTCCTTATAGCAGCCGAGCTTCACCAAGAAGAAGAAGAACAAAACCCATCATCATTCCACTTCAAATCTTGCACCTTTTCTCTCCAAAATTTACACACAACTTGCAAATCACTTAGAGATCAACCTAAGCTAGGAAAAGGGCTTGCTTCTCACGGTTTTCTTTAGCTTCCAAGGACCGAAATTTTCTGTTTTAGTCATCTACAAAGGTAAACAACGATTAACCTCTTAAATCTTGATTTATAGAAGTTATCTTGCACTTGTGAGCTTATAGATTCACATGGGTAGCTTTATATTGTTGGAAATCTTGTGAGTGGGCTCAATGAAATCCCACAATGGCTTGATGAACTGATTTGATGAGATTTGATGTTATTTATGTTGGATTAGTGCTTAATCTAGTGAAAATAAGTTGTATTGTGGAAGAAAGCTCAAAGGAAATGAAAAGGAAATTTTACCGTTTCTGCCCATGCTATTGCCGTGCACTTTGGTGCACTTTTTTGTGGTCCAATTGACTTTTTTTTGATATATATGTGTAATATAAGTTGTGTGGAAAGTTTTCACAAAAAATTACGTAATTTGGATGATCAAATGTTGAGATTTCGAAATTTTACCAAAACTGGAATTATGTCCTGTATTGCTCTGGCAGTGATTTTGTTTCGGCCATAACACTTTGCTCCGACGTCAAAATTGAGTTCCATTTGTGGCACTAGAAACTAGACATTTCCACTTTTCTAACGGTATAAAATGCATGCCCTGATTCCACCTGAGTGAGCCGTACCAACCTTGTAAAGTTGCCTGTTCTGTTTCTCGTCTGTACTAGAAGCCTTGTTTTGAGCTGCGACTTGATACTCAAATATGAGCTAGTTGTAGACAGAATTTTAAAACGATTCCTTCTGTGAATGTAGTTTTCAACGCCACCAACCACGCATAATTCTGAGTTGAATTGAGTGAGTTGTGGTCGAATTTCAAAGCTGTCTTCGTCAAAGAAAACCCTAATTCTGGACTGATTTATAGCTAATCTTGATTTGGGACTTGTTATTCGAAATCCTTGGTGTTAATCACCTACCAAACGTATTTTGGATGTTTCCTAGACTTTGTCTTCATAAATGAATCATGTTCGAGGAATTTTCATTGGCCAAATGTTTGAGAAAAGAAAAACGAAAGTGCAAGGCAGATTTGCCTTAGCAAATTGTGAAAATTTAATGGTTTTGTTAACCGACTTCCCGAATGAATTTTTGCATGAAATTTGACAGAGGAATAGTCCTTATATGGTAGTGTAATCATACCAAATTTGGTGCCATTTCGCATCCATTTCAATACTCAACCAAAGTCTCAAAATTCACCTTTTAAATCTGGAAAATCCTTGTTTAAGGAGGAAATTTCAGTAAATTTGAGCCGCCATATCTTGGTGCTCAAAACTCTTATTCTTGTTCTGCTTGTTTTCTTTTAAACTTTTATTGTAACTCTAATTGATTTCCAAATTTCAGAGGTTAGTTCGCATTGTTTGAATTTTCCCGAATTTCCAAACTTTGCCAAAAATTAACCCAAATCTGTCTTGGTATTCCAAAACAGCATTTTGAACCCAAAATTTGAATGTCTTCAATTTGGAATCATGGAAAAGTGCCTTCTAAGAACTTTTAGTACTCTGGACGTAGTTTCCAACGGAACCAAGTTTTCCAATTTGGACTTACAGGGAGTGAGATACGATTTTTCAAAGATCACTCGACAAATCTAAAATTTCCGAACTTAAAGGAAATTGAAGGTTGCGAACTCTCTATTTTCTTCGATATTGCTAGACCGTTTTACACCTGATTTCAAAGATGAAAATCAGATTTCTCTTGTGTTTTAAAACCCCATTTTTGAGTCTCGATTTACGAGTAATTAAGGCTCTCTTTTACGACATTTTCTTAATATTGTACAAGAGTACAATCTTTCTTGTAACAAGGGGGTTTATAAATAACAGTGTGTAATAGTCAATTACTATTTGCTCAGGTGCTCAAGGAGACCTTCAAGAGGATCTCGAGGGGAACACCTAAAGGCTTGTTTACACACTCACTCCCTTGTTTCGATTGGTGAGTGTCAAGTGCATGAATTTGTTGCTAAGTGGTTAACTGTTTCTTATCCGTTATGTGAATTGGTAATTTTCAGACGAGTGTGTACGTTACCACACTCGTTCTCTTTCGAACGAAATTATATTCATATTTTACTATGTGAATTCATATTCGACTTGTACATAGTAATGTGGATGTGATTCGTATTTGTGATTCGTATATGTGATTCGTATATGTGATTCCCATTTGGAATAGTCGATTTGAGCGTTGCTTATCGACCACTGAATGATTGTAAGTACCACACCGATTCAGGTGGGAGGTACCTCTCGAGTCGTCTCAGTATCCTAAACCATGCTAAGTCGATTGGAGCGATGCCTCATCGACCACTGAACAATTGTAAGTACCACACCGATTTGGTGGGAGGTACCTCTCGAGTTGTCTCAGTACCCTAAACCTCTGAACGATAGCAAGTACCACACCGATTCGGGTGGGAGACACCTCTCGAATCGTCTCAGAATCATTAAGCATTCTAAGTCGATTGGAGCGGTGTCTCATCGATCTCTGAACGATAGCAAGTACCACACGGATTTGGTGGGAGGTACCTCTCGAATCCTCTCAGACCATAAGCTGAGCGATAGTAAGTACCATACCGATTTGGGTGGGAAGTGCCTCTCGAATCGTCTTAGAAACATAAATGGAATACGTAAAGTGCTATGAATTTAATTATCTACCCGGGTGACGGGGTGTCGTCACGAGAAGGTATTAAATTGAACTTGGAGCAAAGTAAACAAAGATTTAGCTCCTGAGAGCTCCTACATCCTACTCAAGGGGGTTTATTATAAATTGTGAATTTCTTGAATGTTATAGTTGTCACTATTGTGTAAGTGCTATTGCTATTGAATTACTTGCCTTGCATGTTTTCTTGGCCTCACGAGCGTCCGCTCACCCCGTTAGATTTGTTTTTCCTTAACAGGAGCTGAAATGGGAGGAATTCTGGAGAAACTTACTTGATGCTTCACTTGATTAGAATTGTGAATGTATTTGTTTAGAATTTGATTTTGGAAGCTGTATATTTTGGGAATGTAAAGTAATTGGGTAGATTATGATGTAAGACTTGAACGTTTATTGAAGAATTGACCTTCCTTTATCTCTTCGATTTTTAGTATTTGGTTATTATTGAGTGTAAATTGAATTAGTACCGAGTCCTGGCGAGAATTAGGCAGGCGTTCCGCCGATAACCTTGGGTTTGCCCTTGGGAGAAGTAGGGGGGTCACATAATAGGTTGTGCTTCACGAGTGGACTTGATGCTTCTCTCACGTATTAAGATATTTATTTTTCCTGTTGTGTTTCAGCACCATTGAACCTTGGAGGTGATCTAGAAGTGGAAAAAAGAAGGGCTGACTAAGTACCTTGCCACTTGCCATGGCCTTGGGAATTTGTAGGTGCAGGCCAACTGGATTTGTTCAAAGCTCTGGTCACACTAAGTTTTTTCCTGTAAAACGTTCACATGAACATTGGTGACGTGTTGTATAGATGTTTTCTTTTGTAACCATGATTTACTACCTGGGCAACTGATATTTTTGGGACCATTTTCCATTTGGAGATGTGATTTTCGTTTTTGTTGAGCAATATTTTATATTTTGGCTTATATTTGCCTCTGTATGTATTGAATTGTTCCAGATTTTTTATCCAATTGAGGTTGACGACATTTAAAGCAGGGATTTGAGTCACTCTATGCTTGATTAGGGTGCTTGTATGTACTAATGGTTCTAATTCTGTACCATGAATAAGGTTTTTGATTTTGGAGCTGAAATCTTGGTTTATATTCCAATATAAGATTCTCTGCATTTAGGTTCTTCTCCCTTTTATCACTTTTTATATTCCAATATAGGATTCTCTGCATTTAGGTTCTTTTCCCTTTTCAAAGGAACAACATAATGACATGATACTATACCAATAAAGAATACTGTTCAGCTAGGTTTTCGTTTGATTTTTAACTCTTCTTTCCTAGCCAATTCATTAGTATCATTAATAATTCCATCTAAGAATTCATGGTGTAATATGAATAAATATTTTATAGAAATGATAATGTGATTATAATGGATAGAAACTAAAATTAACTTGTAATGAAATGAATGTTATGAGAGTAGAAAAATATTTGCAACATATCAACAAACATATCAGAAAATATTTTCATTGACAAACCAAACACCGGAAAATTATGAAAAAAGGAATTTGGAAAATATTTTCACTTAATAACCAAACACTGGAAAATTATGGGGAAGGAAGTGATTTTCTAGGAAAATGCCTTCGATGGAAAATATTTTCAGTCCAACCAAACGGACCCTTAATCTTTTGAATTCATTTCTCCATATATGATACTACATAAAATCTAAACTAATTGCTGTTGTTTCTTGATAAACAACATACAATATGTGAAAAAAAATTAAATAAAATAAAACAAGAAAAATCAATTTTACCAGAATAAATTGATAATAACAATTCATCATTTTCCTATAACAAAATATTACGTTATTCAATTCATGCAATCAATACACACACACACACACATATATAATTAAATTATAAGTGGGGATCCCACACTAGTCCCATCTCCTTCATTATCTCTCTATGATACTATCTTCCTCTTATCCAGTAACCCTATCTTCCCCGACCTTGAAATCCTTCCCATTTCTTTCACTATGCAATCCTCACAAGTGTTCACAACCCTCTTCTAGCACTCAATAATTTCATCTCCTCGCTACCATTATAGCCCCATCTATTCCCTCTCTCGATATACTTCCTCCTTTCTATTGATTGCCGTTCTTCCATCTTCTAACCCCATCTTTCCCAAATCATGACCTATTTCATCACATCTAAAAATGTTTTGGCCAAATCTAAGGTCAAAATTCTGATAAGTGGGGTCAGTGTAAAATTTCATAAAATTTTGCATCTTTGGAATTTTTCTATAATACCCATTGAAAATTTTTTTAAAAATTCCTAAAGCATTCCTGAAACATACCATCCAAATGCATCCTCGATTATTTTAGTTCATCTCAATTTAATTTGTTTACTATACAGCTTACTTTTAAATAATATATATTTGTATATTAGATATATTATATATATATATTATATTTTTATATTTTATATATGTGTGTGTGTGTGTGTGTGTGTGTGCGCGCACTCACATATGTGTGGTTATATCAGAAACATATTTTATATATGTCTAAATTTAGTAAATGAAAAAGATGTTTACATCAATCAAAGCTATAGACTTTTGTCCTAATAATGATAGAATAATAAATATCAAATGAGGCCTATTATACGATAAAAAGAAGTGGATCTAAACCTTGCTACATATGCCTTATTAACCTACTGAGATAGCCTATCTAACAGTATTTAGGAGATTAACATGATAATAATTATAATTCAAAATGGATTTTGAAAAAAAAGAACACTATATTTTGTAGAATATAAGTTAAAGTGTCTTTTTGATTAACTAATCAAAGGAATATTTGAAACTATAGATGTACTTCATCTTATCTTCAAATTATTAACCCAATGCTTGCTTGGTTCTCAAAACTCAATTCAACTAATGTGGATATTAGCTGCAATAGCAAGGTTTTATATTCAACTCATAAGTTCCCTTTTACCTTTTATTGTTGTAAGGGTTAGACTCTCAATGAAATTGAAAGAAAAAAAGAAAACCTAGTGCTTACTTCATAAAGCATGATACAATCTATCAATGATTGATTGTGCACATACGAAGCTGGTGTCATTCTTTTAGATAGTCAAATAAGATTTTAAGTGTATACAAAGTAAACATATAAAATGAAAAGTAAATAATACCTAGTTCAAAGTTAAATTTGATATTCTTCTAGCATTTTATATGCTAAACACTTCTAGCTTTCAGTGTAAATAGGCAAAATAGTCTAAAGCAATGTGCTATATGCTTATGCAAAAAAATGTTCTACATTGTTGTCCTTAATTACTAATCTAAGTATTTTATATGCTATTTGAATTGAAGTTATACATGTAGAATTTAACATAATACAACTAATATTTTCTTCATGTGACACCTCGCATATTTGAGTCCTCATTTCGATTTTTTTTTACTTTTGTGATGCATTTTGAATTAGAAGAAAAAAATATAAACATATACTTTTGAGAATTCAATTACAACTAAGAGGATTAATAAAATTGAATATTAATTGTTTGGGAAAAAAGATTTTAGATGTATTTTGCAATTTTCATTCATTTTTTGAAGCGACAAATATTGGAGTTTAGGACCAATTTTTGAAACATTCACTAAAAGAATAACATATTATTGAATATGAAAAAAATCATAATTAGTTTATTTTGATTAAGAAATTACTGAGAGTCTAGAGTATCATTTGAATCTTTACGTTGCCAATATTTTCTCGTATATGTAAAGGATAGATACTGGGGTGTCAAAATTCAAGAATCGAGAAATGTGATACAAAAAGTAAAAAGCAAAATGATAAATTCAGTAATGTAGTGTCCTTTATTTTCCAATGCTTCATTTGGATCCTCATGAAGGATTTGAATCCTCTCAAATCACTTTAACTGTTTAGATTATTTAGGAAGCATTTGAATTTGTACATCACAAAATACTATAGTTTTTAAAATGTATTTTAATAATTGTTGAATTATAATTTCGAAGGCCTCTTAAATAATCCAAACCACTAGAGCAGTTTGGGAGAATTTCAAATCATTCGTCAAATCCCTCAATCCAAATGAAGCCTGAGAGAATTGTAAATCTAACTACTAAATTGTAAGCATTTAGGTTATATTGTTTCTATTTTTTAGAATATTTGCATATTGAAGTTACCTTATTGTAAAATAGGAATATTCATGTGTCCTTATTAAACTTGTATCTTTTCCAAGGAAACATGAGAGTAGCAAATTAATTCTATCAAGTAAGATTAGCATTATCATATGATAGGTAGAAACTTTCCAAATTTCAATAATACATTTGCATATTTAAGTTGAAATTAAAATGTTATAATGTAAATATTTTGATGTTTTCTTTTAAAATTTGTATCTATTTCCAATTTTAAGTGGTATACTATTGTTTTCTTATGTTTATATTAGGTAGAATTAGCACAATATTTATGTAGGATTACTATATGATAGGTAAGAATTTTTCAAATTTAAGAGATACAATTATGGTAATATCTATTCAAATGTTGAAAAGAATTTATTATGAATAAAATAATTCAACACTCTAGAAAAATAGAATTAGAAGTTAGAGACTCGATGGGAGGCTTTGGCTGAAAAGTCGTCTTCAAGTATATATATATATATATGATGATTCTCCACAAATTTGTTGAAATGCTTCAACTTTCATTTTCATGTCCCCATTTATCCATTCGAATAACCATCTTTCAATCAACTTATTATTTTGAAGAAAAACTAATTCGTTTCCTCCTTTCAAGAGTAGTAGACTCTCTTCCAATTTAGTGGAGGTTGTCTTCTATCCTTCCCAAAGGAAATAGATATTTTGTCTAAATTCCTTCTTAAAATTCAAATTTATCTTGAAACGAAATGGGCCTTTACCTTTTATGTGTCAACGGCTATTTTTCCAAAGCAATGGGGCTTGTCTTTTCTTTTAAATAGACAAATGTTTTCATTCAAACTTTTGAGAAATTTCCTTTATCTTGAGGGATATTATCTTTCAACAAATTTTCTAGTTGAATCAGGGTAGAGTTAGACCAATTTTGTGAGGAAATGAGCAAGATAATTGAGTACTAACACAATAGACTAGGTTTATGTGAGATCCTGTGAGTCCTTTTTACGAAGCGCCATAAGTAAATAGGCAGAGAATGGAGTGAGGTTGCCACATGAAATACAAAAGACGTTAGTGAAGTGGTTGTACTTGATCCACTATAGTTGCAAAAGCACAGTGGAATGAGATTGCCACTGAAAAAAAAAAAAAAAAAAAAAGTCGATCTTAGTGAAGTGATGGCAACTTGTACTAGGGTAGTTAGTGCTTGAGTCACTGTAAAGAAAAAGCAATGGTTAAGAAACACGGTGCCTCTTTAAACAAATTGGTTAGTGATTTCAAAATTCAAAGGGGAAAAAGACTTTTGATAGTGGATATAGGCCTTCAGTGTTGACCGACTATAAATCTTTTATCCCTTGTTTACTCTCTTTATTTTGTTGCACTTTATTCTTGAGAGTTATTTTTCAAATTTATTGCTTGTATAGCGCTTTGATAAATTGCTTGAGTGTTTCATTATATGTAAAGTGATGATGTTGCAAGGTTTGACGTGATTGAAATGGTTTTATTTCCTTATTAGTTTGCTGATATTGTCAAGTCCAAATCCCTTATGCTTAGTCAAGAAACCCATGTCAACAATTTACCTCCCCCTCTAGGTTGGTCTATTTGAGACAATAGTGGTATTAGAGTAGATTTTCCATCTTTTGTAGGTTTAACTGCCTGGAGTTTGATCCGTCATGGTGAATTATCCCAAGTTTGATATGCCTTATTTAGAGGGTAATTCCTCAATTCGTCCTCCCTTATAAACCAACTCAAATTACCCTTTCTAGAAAAATCGTACAAAAATTTATATAGAGTCTATTGGATATGACCAATGACGAGTAATTGAAAAAGATGATTATGTTCCACCAAAACTAATAATAAAGGTCAACCTGTTTTCAAAAAATCTAGTGAATATATTGATGAGGACCATAAGTTGATTACTAATAACGTACTCCTTCTGTCTCATAAAATTTGTCATTTTTTAGAGAACGTACAATTTATGTATAATGATGTTAGTAGGAAAGAGAATTTTCACTTTTCTCTTATATCCTTAGTGATGGGTCATCTTTTATTTGATGTATTGATAATTGTAAGAAATAAGTGATGGGCCACACAAAGGGTAAAGACAAAATTTCATTGAAAAAGGTGCGCTGACTTTTCTAAAATAACAATTAATTTGGGACAAGAAAAAGTGACAAACATGACAAATTTTATGGGACAAAAGAAGTAACTATTTTTAATTTATTACATTGTGCAGAAACTAAAGATGAATATAGTTGTGTTTTTCAGCATGAAACTTTTAGTCTCATAGCCAAGCTTGCTTGGCAATTTGCATGGACGATGGTTCTCGTCTCATATAAAAAAGGATCAGGTGCTTCTACAGTTGCAAGCGACAATGATACCCCCACAATTAGTGTTGTTCAAACTGTTCGAGTCGTTTAGATTCGCGCATGTTTGGTAATGGCTTGTTCAAAATTTTATACGATCCAAGTTCGAACAAACATTTTTGGCTCGATAAATAATCAAACAAACACAAGTCTCAGTCACGAATTTAAATGATTTCACAAACATGAGTCTAATTGTTATTTTACAAAATTTAGGGTTAGATGGTTGGTTCAGTATTGAATCTATTGATTTATATGGCATAATTTTGTTTTATATAGCATGGCAAGACTGGATTTTATATTACTCTTGTTCCTTGATACTATAGGAAGGCAAAATGTACAAATTTTGTGAGAGAAAGAGCCTAAATTTGAGCTTCTCGAGCCGGTTCAAGATTGGCTCATTTATGTTAAATGAGTCAAACTCAAATTTGAATTAGGATTTTAATTAATGAGCTAAATACAAACAGAGATTTCAAGATAAAAAATCATCAAACAAATACGAGCCTTGTTCACGTAGTTAAATGAAAAGAGTTCAAAGATGAGATTCTCGGTTCGATTCGACTCACTTATAACTCTACGCAGAATCCATGGCCATTCAATTCAAATTTCAATAACAAAAAAAAAGAAATTTTTTATAAATTTGTCATTAAAATGGACGACCTAGATAACGTAATCAATTTCTGTCACATTCTTTAGATCAAGCTTGTGTAGAGAGTTTGGATGAAAATAGATTTCTTTCATTCGCTACTATTGAGTTCAGCATGTAATGAAAGGGGGTTCGCCCTTTATATTTTATATTAGCTTGTGTGCTTGGTATACGGATTTACTCTTATACCATGCCATAAATTCTATAGTCGTTTGGGTTTAACAATACATGATGATGTTAGGAAAATATGGTAAATGAAGTGCGTTGATGCAAGCTTATTAAAAAGGGGAAAGGAAAAAAAGGAAGTGCGTGATGCAAGAAAACATAGGTAAAATACATGAATGATACATGACAATACAAGAAAACCGATGTGATTGTAGAATGTACCACATAGTTGACAAGTAGGACCAAGGATCAGGTCAAGCTAAATATTTGCCCATAAAGATGATGTTATGTTCACAAAGGAAATTACCCTTTGTTGGGATTGTAGTAAGAGAATAAGGGGATTGCCCTTAAAAGTAAAGGGGGAAGAGGGCTTGTATCTTAGACGTGATGGAAACAAGAGCGTGCGCCTCTTTATGAACAAAGAAAAGAATGGAAAAGAAGGGCGAGGACCCTTTTTGTGAGCAGCCTACATCTTGAGATGCTGAAAGTCTCCACGAGCCCCCACTTGTGGAAAGTGGGATTGCTGGAGTTTATCAAAGGTAGAGATTTACCACTTCATGTGTGATGATGATAACTTAGCTTCAGAGAACTTCATTAGTAACGGCTCATCAGTTACGAAACAAGTTGGGGTTGCCAGTTGGGATATTTTTAAGAATGGCCTTTCAATTATTGGTTTTATTAAATTTTGGCCCCATGATTCTGCAAAGTTATTTGTACTAACAGAAAATTTAACCAAAAAAAAAAGTCTAAATTCTGAGGGTATTTTAGTCCAGAAAAATAAAATGTGAGGTAAAGTGCCCATCTAAAATATTGAGAGAGGTGCAAAGTGCCAGTCCCGAAAAGCTCAAGGGTGTTTAGTGCAATAAGCTAATATAAAATCTATCTATCGAGTGATGAATTTTCCCTTTTCAGTTTCACCGGCTTCCATCAGCTTCCATCAATGAGAAATAGACAGAAATTGCTGCTTAACTTGTTTTTGTTCAAGAACATAATGTAAACAAATTGCTGCCTCCGTAATTTTTATAACTCCAACAGAGTATAGTTAACTTGTTCACAGAAATTGTAGTTTGTCTGTAAGTTTAAAAAAAAATCATATTCAATTAACATGTTACTCATTGATAGAAATCAGTGATGGCTGCCATTGCACTACAGGTCTCACTCTCCTTTTTTTTACTTCTGCAGGTTGAAGATGTGAGCCTTTCTTGGAATTATTATCCGCATGGCTATTGTTATGTTCTGAAGAAACTGAATCAGAATCCTGCTTAGCATCTATACCGAAGAAGCGTACTCGAAGATCGCCAGACTTCTTTTTACTCTTGGACTTGATCAAGATACCAAATCGGTTTTGTGCAAATGAACTGCTGCTCGAGAAACTCTCTTTCTGACAGCGTATCACAGCTGATGAAGCATCATCAACCGACGATTGCGAGTTATAAAGGAGGCTTGAGTCTAAATCACTAGGTTTCTTGATTCGTCGTATGAGTTTCTTCAGTGTTCTAGGTGGGACAAGGAAGTATTTTTGGCCGGGAATGAGGATCTCTTCACGGCAGATGATGGCGCCCCACGGTCTCTGGAAAACATCAGGTCTAGTTAGCATGAAAGAAGGGTATTTGTCTATGATCCTGGCTGCTGGAACTGCCATGTAGTATAGCTCAACAAGGCCCCCTGCATGGATGATCTTCAAAACTGCTGATGACCTCTCCTCCGCTACTGGTGTGGGAGTTGGGGCAAGTTTTCTTGCACCAAAGATCTTCAGGATCATGCTTGGTGCTAATGCAAAATGCCAAGTTTTGATAGCTGCTGCTGCTAAGATTTAGGCATGCAGTCAAGTACGAGGAAGGATTCTCACATTTATGCTAGCTACTTGGTTTGATTTTTGACCATCGATGAATACAAGAGCCGGCAATTTACTTGGTCTTTCTTTTGGACTTTCCCATGAAAAGCAGTACTATGATTAAGAAAGAGCAACATATTCCCCAGGAAGATAACAACTAGGCATACTCTTGAACGAGAGTCCGTAATGTTTTGTTGGCTTCTCAATGCAACGAGATTTCCTTCTCAAAAAATATATCTTTTGCCTGTCTTTCCCACCCCTGCCATTTGGAGGAGTGGGAGTAAAATATTCCAAGCCAGCTCATCCCTTCGGATTGTGGTTGCTTACAATTGTAAGCACCATACAATTGGTGATCCATATTGATTCAATTTGGATTCAGATGGATAGGATACATTGTGGAATACAAATTTCAGTGAATGATAAAATTTGTCATTAGTTAACACGTTACTACCTTAGGGTATGCATTTTGTTACGACCTTAAAGAGAATTCCCTAGTTTGCTCCAATGGTCCGTCCTATGGGACAAAAATAGGTCTCCAACACTAATTGCTGCATGAACCCAAAGGGGTCCAAGACTCGAAGGATGTGGAATTGAGACAGGGATATTAATTCAGGAACTCCCCCTAAATTGGGCTCCAGACAACAAACATGGGAGGACAAAAAAGTCCTCCAAAAGAGAGTTATATTCATCTCTTCAACAAGTTTAGAAATAAGCATAACTGCCATGCACAACAGTCCTGAGTAGTGTCCTGAAGGAACTGTAGTGGAAGGGGCCCCGCGGCAGGTACGGGGGTTATGATGCCACCCATTCCCTCTCCGTCCTATTATTCAAACACAAACGAGAAAGCAAATCCCTCTTGCATTGTGCAAGGAACGTAACTTAGCATAAATCATCTTCAACTGGGATATTTCTAATGACTTACTGTAGATACTGCAGGATGAAACAATGAAAAGAATAGAATGCTGCATTTGCTTATACCAACACCCATTACAACAGTCCAGCTAAATCGTTGCTATCAAAATTTACTTTACAGGAGAGCTGTGAACTCAATTTCACCTTTCAGAAGCCTAATAATCTCAGGGAAAAAAAAGTTGAAAAGGAGAAAAAAGTTGTCTCCCAAGGAATGCTAAGTGTAAAAAGAAATGCCAAAAAGATAATGGCTTAAAGTTGCAGTTGTTTACCAAATATCAGCAGCAAGACAGATAACCAGCAGAACACCTTTCCAACTAATAAAAGGTCAATTATCCATACAGAAGCATTTCACCATCAGTATCATCACTTCCAGCGATCAACAGATATCATCCACCAAACCATTTTTTTGGGTCTCCTTTCATAAAATTTTTGCTCAGCTCGATTATATTCTACGTTCATATTGCAGATGCTTTGGTTTACTTCAACATCGCTGGAGAATCTCAAAAAATTCAAAGATATCAATTTCCACTTCCAGTTCTGTAGCTTACAGTGGAGAAAATGAGCTCCCTCTTTAGAAGTTATTAGGCCAGTTCATTTGTGAATGTTGTGGCTGCTGGTATGCACTGGCTGTGGGTCCAACCACATCTAGAGGACTTGCCATTGTCTGAGACTGCTGCAGTAGTGGGTTAACAGTAGTTGCATTGACTGGTTGTGCTGGGTGATATATGCCAGCAAAAGTCCCATGGCCAGGCTGTGCAGGTGCAAAGGCCATCTGACCCTGGGGAAAATTGTAGAATGAGCTGGCCTGCAAGCTAGAAAAATCTCGGCCAGGAGGTGCAATCCATACACCAGAACCTTCGCTCTGTTAACCAACATTCAACACCAATATTATGGGATTATCCATATAGTTCACAGGATATATACATTTAGCGCAGGAAAAAAAGTAAAAGAAATTAACATACCATTCTATAGACATAAAAATAAAATACAGAAAAAGGGAACTGGAGCCATTCAGCAAAAGTGAATGGTCAGGGACCTGTTATGTCCAAGTGCAAGGAATGCATGGACAAAGCTCATGTACAAACCCGATCCTATATCCAACTACTAACTTGTATTTAGTGTTTTCTTTTTTCACACAAATCTATGCCATAAAGCAAATAAACAAAAAGCATAACAAAATTGAGTTCACAAAAACCAAAGATTTTAAAGCTTCAACAGTGAAAAATGCAACAAAGTAACTTGACAAAGGCCTTGTTCTTAACTAATTTTGGAAACTTGATTTTAGATTTTGATTTTTGAAAACCTATATTATTTTGTTCTCAACTGATTTTAAAAAACTGATATTAGATTTTTTGGATCCAAAAACGCTGAAATCAGACAGATTTTAAGGTGCTTTTGGATTCTGATTTTGATCTACTTTTTCATGTAGACAAAATTACCCTTTAAATTGCAATATAATTACTAAACTACCTAAAGATTAGGTAACTTTTTATGGTCTTTTTATTTCTCCTATTCTCATCTCACTTCATCTATATGACTTGCTTTTTCATCAACCATTTAATCCTCATGAGAAAAGTAATTAATTACATCAAAAATTATTTAATTCGCACAAAACTTCATTTATGTAGCATATAAGGGTAACATGGTCATGTTATTGTTAAAATCAGATTTTTAACTTTTTCTGAGAGCACTTATGCATTTATTAAAATGGCTTATTCTCCCTGTGATGCAATAAATGGTAGACAACACTGAATTGCTTTTACCAACCCAGATAGATTAATTGTCAAAGTTATACTTATTGCTTTTAATTTAGTATTGAATTGTTCACAACCTTTTACTACTTGTCATGATAATCTCAAGCAGATTCCTAGATTACTAAAGGTGTTCACTGGGAAAAACAAAGGACTACTAAACATGTTCAAACACTCATTAGTCATTTTAAAAAGCCAAGAATACACTTTCTCATGGACATTTAGAAGAGTCACTAGTTGATGACATAGAGGTAAGAGAAAAGAATATGTTATTTATGGAGGGGTAAATGAAGTCCATGACATACATTTACTTGTTTCATTGCCAACAAATGCAAAATTCTACTTGCCCCCTTGAAATTGTGAAAGCACCAAAAAACTATTGGGGCCAAAACTCTCATTTCTCAGGAAAAAAAATACTAATAATAGTAACAATACAAACAGACAATCACTTTACACTTTCATCTAAATCGACCATTATCCATAGGCACTCTCACCATCCCAGTGTCTAACAATCTTAAGAACAATAAGATTTGAAACCTTAAGGATCAAGTACAGACTCACAGATGTACATATGAAGCAAGTAAGCTTACTGTCAGAAGCACCAATATCACTGTGACATCCTAAATTATACTTGTTTGTTCCCACAATCCAATTTTAATAAATCTCCATCAAGTCAGCATACACATTTTCTAAGCAAAAGGATCCCATACAAGCGAATCTTCCTTTGTAGAGTGTCACGCCTTCTGAAGTATTCAATCCTTCAACTTTTATTAAATTATACTCCAAAGGCTTCAGGGGAAGTTTTTTCATAGAAGAATGAGAAACCTACAGTGGCAGTTCATATAAAAAATACCCACAAGAAACAAAGTGGCTTAAACAATGGAAGTCGCATAAAAGATCCTCACCCAAGGCATATTCCCTGCCATGGAGCAAAGACAGCAAAAGCTATAGAATGAGAAAATAATCTTGCCCTAAACTACATAACATCTGTAGCATGAATCAAGTTAGTCATCTAAGTAAAACATTTACATTTCCAATCAACGTATTTTCCATTTGATTCCATTTTCCAAGATAAGCAACATTTAGGAAAATTTATATATTCCATTTCTATCCTTTCCCTTGTGTTAAAAGTTTAATGTCAATAAAAGACAAGCCAATTTTCATCAAGCATAGTGTTAAGTTTTCCTGAAGCACATCCATTTTGTTCATTTACAAGTTCTGCATTTACCAATCACATGGTTACTCATAACTGCAAAAGGCTTTCCCATTTATTGACACATTTTCATCAGTTATTCTACCAAAGAAAAATCTGATTTTTTTTCAGTTTCAAAGACTATATGCTTCACATATGCATAGCCATACAAACACAATCACATAACTCTTGGTTCACCAACAAATGAAGATATCTTCCATTCTCTTCACTTTGTTTGATGAGAAAAATACCCTTCCTTCATTACTTTCGTCTGCCAAAAGCCCACAACCACTTTCCTCCCTTAGAACTCTTCTAAGCATGCAGTTCAAAACATCTGGAACTCCAACAATATAAATGGTAACTTAATCTCCAAAAAAAAGATATTGTGCACAAGTAATTTGCCGTCCACTTGCTGAATCCTAGAGAGCTCCAAGTGTCTTAAAATAAAATGGGTCAAAGAATCCATAAATACACTATAGTCACTCGCTAGAAGAATCAATCTGCAAATTATATCTTTCTGGCACACAAAAACATGTTAGAAAGACATTTTTCAGCTGCAGAGTAATGTTTGTCATCCACAAAATCCATAAGATGCACAAAGTGATGTATTTAAGATAATGAATTTTTTAACCTTTAGTAGACTGCAGACTAGAATTAAACCTTCAACATATCAATGCTAGCAACTCAATAACCTCCAAACTAATTAGCAATTACAATATCTAAATTTAGATTTTTACCTTGAGAAAAGAACCATTGAAAAAGTACCAAACACACATGTTCTGTACTATGTCAAATATGCAAGACATATGTAAACTTGATTAGTCAACAGATGCACAAAGGTCCAATATGTAAATTAGGCACTTAAAAACCTAAGGCTTACACCTCTTGAAACATCTTGGGGAATTTTCTAATGTTTATCAAGTTTTGTCATATATCGCTAACTAAACGGCTAAAATCTGATGACAAAAGTACATGCCATCCTTCCGTTTGAAGTATCACAAGTTTATGGATAAAAAAGTGGATAGGATGTACTAGTTTACATAAACTTCCACAGAGTAGTTGTTTTGCTATTTACAAAACAAAGTTGAATAAAGAAAGAACTGAATTAGCTAATATTATTTATTCTCCTATGATTAAAGAGTGTCCATAATTGTAGGCAACATGTTTCATATCTGATAAAGTTGCATTCTGTGTGTCCATTTTACTCGTGCTTGTAAGACTTATCTAGTTTCAAGTGCTTTAGAAATTAAAAAAGTACATTTCCTGTTCTAACATAGCCAGACTGGTTGCCCACTGCAACAACATCCAATGGTCGCCTACAAACCAAAACCATTTTATAATTTTAGGCAGCGAAACTTTCACCACCAAACCAACTAGAAGAATAATAACTACAAAAAGATAAACTACATTCGAGTATACCTATGATTCACTAACCTTTCTGAGGGCCAATCACTTGAGACCTGTTGCTGTAGTTAGATGATGGCCTACTGACAGCAGAAGCTGCAGTGTGTGAGGAATCTAGGTGCTGATTCTTTCCATTCCCGTGTGCCTTGCTTGGCATCTTTCCGTGGACATTTGAGTTCCCACTCTCATCAAGTCCTTTACATATTTAGCAAATGACAGAAACCATAAGCTATACTTGAACAATGAAAAAAGAATATCTATGTAAAGGACACAAAATTGCAAGTATGCAAATTGGGATCTTAAACTCCGCACCAGAAGCAATTTCAGAGACAGCAGAGATCTGTTCAACAGCACTGGACTGGATTCCAACTCCATGTTTCATTGTACCCACAGCACTAGACTGCCGTGAATCTTGTAAGGATAATGATACAGGGTCTGAAGACAAGAAATAAGCTCCTGATGGTTGTGATGAACTCATAGAAGTTGAAAAGTTACTAGAATCAGGCATCTGCTCTGCAAATTGATCCCTATTCTCAGAGGCAGTAGCAGAAGGACCCAAATGTTCCTCCAACTTTTCATTATCATGCATGACAGTCAGATTCCTAGAAACTATAGCAGTAGGACCATTTGCTGTGGCACCTAATGAACTGAAAAAGAAATTTATAGATAAGAAACAGCAATTATTACTGTCCCAGGAAATTGAAATTTTACGTGTCTACACATATATATATCCAGATTCCAAATCTATATACGTTAAACACTTTTGTGTGCACTCTGTGCATAAATACCATACTTTATGTAGACACACGTATACATATTTATGTAGCATGCAGGTGTGCCAAAAAGAAGGATTGGATGGTTAGAGAGCAAAACATTGTTTTCTGGGTGGCAAATCATCACCACTACAGACAATTTCACCCATCTCAAAGGCAGGTACAAAGGCTCAATATAGGTCACATGTAAAGCTCCTAGGTATGGGGGAAGGAGGTGACAGGGAGGTTAGAAAGGTCTTCTTTTATTAGGCAAAAGTTATGACCTGCTCCAAAAGTCGTTCAAATTTCTGATGCTATCAAAGAAAAAATTAGATTTTGTGTTCCAATCCTAGTCATCCAGGGTAAAATTACAAGTATCAAGAGTTCCTAAAAGCCAACAGAGTGTGAAAAGAACCTTGCAGCAGAATTTGGCTCTTTCCCTTCACTTTCCCAGGGAGTGTTCAAAGAAGACATGCTAACACCCTTATCTAAATCTAGGTTGGACTCATTGTCTTTAGCAGAAGCCAACTTCCTTGCACCTGCAGCTTTATCTGACAAGAACAAAAAGCATGAGAATAATAGCAAAAGTACTGTCATGGTTTTTCTATTATTTGACAGCCAGCTGAGAGTAAGTAGATAAAATTTCAGCCACTAAAACACACACACATATATGGGTTACCAATAGAGCCCAAAGGGCATTCCCAGCTCTTAAAAATACTTAGCAGAAAATATTAGGTCACAGTTAGTTTCTGTGATGGACTGATATAACTAGAATAAGCCTAAAATTCTACCCGAGGACAAGCTATTGTGGACATCAAACTAATGATTTACCATGAGATATATTACGAGATGAATGAGTCCCTCGGCCCCTATTTCCCCGTCCCTGTACCCCTGATTTCCATCTTGAATCAGCAGGCTCCTTATTCAAATTCTGTGAAAACAAAAAACCTGGTTAAGGAGCAGAAAACCAAAAAGAAGGTGCAACCAACCAAGAAAAGACAAAATGATGAAGTTACAACAGATGATTTTAGATAAAGGAGACAACATGCGCAAGGAAGGAAAACAAATTATATATGAGTACAAGAGATAGATGCCAAGAACAGTAAAAAACTATACATTTTCAAAAGCCACAGCATTCTCCTAAAGCCTGCTACATTAAATCACCCATTTAATGTGCAATTTACCCTCGGAGTATTCATGATTTGAGGGTTCTTGTTAAGTGCTATGCTCATTGATATTTAATATCTATTTTCTCCTCTAGCATTCTCCTTGATGTGCTTATACTTGTTAAAATATTCAGATGTGCACTCAAGTTAGCACTCATTATCAATCAAGCTAGTAATGCTGCAGATACAATGTTCAACACCTTTTTCCGAGTCAAAAGATGACAACACCCATGTAATGCTTGCATCTTATCAAGTCAATGACAACAGTGTAAGGGGCATTATTCTGGTAAATGACAAGTTAGAAAGTGACCATACCTCCTTTTTCCGATCACGCTTCCTTCTTACTTCATGAAATGTATCTGCAACGGGAAAAAAAAAAAAGCAGATGCTTTATCGTATAGCTCCACAAAGAAGACATGATATGAACAGATGAAAAAGGCCTAAAAAGGTAAAGATGAAGCACACTAGTCCACGAAACTCAAAATTGCAGTCATCACAAAGTTCAATCCAACAAACAACAAAGTTGAAAAACAAAATCCTCAATCCCATTTGGCTGTGTCAGAACATAATTGAATTTCACCTTTGTAACCCAATGGACAACACAGGATAGATAAAGCTCTCGTTCAAAACACATTCAAAAGTCCATCTTTATCCCATCTCAAGTTTTTTCTATTCTTCATTTTTCTGCACTCTAAAAGAAAAATCCAATTCCATCCAACCCCCAAATAGACATTGTTTTCCATCATCTCTCTCCCCCATCCCGCACACCTTCCCAACCCCTCCCCCCCCCCCTCTCCCTATCCCGAAAAAGGGAAAAAAAAATATCAAAAACAACAAGAAGAAAAAACGAAAAGTACCACCAACAATGTAACTTCAGCATGTGAAAAAACAAGCACAACAAAGAGCGCAGATCAAAGTTGGAACCAAGATTAACCATCCAAATGGTACACTCTCCAAACCCTTGTAAACTCCCATCTTCAAACTGAATTCTTTTCTCTCTAGTGCACTCTGTTGGCACTTTAAAGCAAAATCTTATTTACTCCACCCCCAAAAGCATATTAGCTATCCATCAACCCTCTCCCAGCACCACCAGCTGCCAAACCCATTCCCCCACCGCGGCCCAAAATAAAAGGTAGTGGGGAACCAAGGATTTAATTTCCATGGGAAAAAAATCAAACAAACAGCCCCAGATCAAAAATTACAGAAAGATCAATACAGGGACAAGAAATGAAAAAAAAAAGGAAAAGAAATTAAAAATAAGAGGGAAGGAAGGACCTTGGAGGAGGAGCTTTTGGGCGGTCTCATTTGGATCCATAGAGCAGTCTTTAAGCATTGCATAGATGTCTTCTTCACTATGGTTTCCTGTGATCTCCTTTATACTCTGGATCATCTTCCTCACATTGCTTGGAATTGAAACCCTAACAACATCCCTATCCCCACTCCACCCCCCACCGCCACCTCCTCCGCTGCTGCTCATGTTCTCTAATGAATCTTTTCACACAACCCAAATTCTAAACTTTAATATATTTGATCACCTTTGATCAATTTCTCCTATGCTATGGTATAAATATGCATAATACTAGAAGTATCTCAACATGTATATGCTTGTGTGAATATGTATATGTATATATATATATATATGTATAGGGAAGACTAAACTGGTGAAAGAAAGAAAGGAAAAGAGAAAGAAGAAGTCTTTGCCTTAGGGGAAGGGTTTTTGCATCGTGTTAAGACTTAAGAGTAATAATCGAATTTGATTAGATTTTAGTACCGGGTAAAATATATTTTGGGGAAGAATTGTAGTTTTGGTTCTTATTATATTATTTGGCCTGAGTTTCAAATTGGTCCCGATATTTTGGTCAAAATAAATCAAGTTCACAAACTTTGTGATTTTGAATAGGTTCAAAACAACTAATGAAAATGCTGCAATGACTAATAATCAACATCAAATTACAGATTACCATTACAACTAAAGAACTTTGACTTTGCACTTTTGTCTCCAATATTTTGATTTTAAATCATTATATTTTCCTAATTTTTAAATAATGATATTAAGGGTTTTAGCATGAATGAGATGCAAATTAAAATGAAATAGTATTAAATGGGTGATATAATTCAAATTAAACTTTTTTTATTCTTTTCCACTTTAATTCCATTTATTTATGCTAATAATATATCATATGTTTCTTTTATTTTGCATAGTTAGTCTCAAATTTGGTATTATATATATTATTCTTTCTCTCTATTAATAATTAATTGTTAATGAGTTTTATTATTTTTATTTCTAATTATAATTAAAAAGCTTAATTAGATATTCCATTAAAATATAAGGAATAAATAACCTTTGTAAATTAAGTTGATCCTTTTTTCGGCGTTTTAATAGGTTATCAATTGAGTTTAAAATGAAATTGGCATTTTATACACATTATATGAACCAGTAAATGATTATCAAAGTACATAGATGTTAAATTAAATGCTTTAAAATCACAATATTGGAATGCTAGATTTTAATTGGTAGGAAAGATAACAAAAAATAAAAGATAGTTTCCTTAAGAATTCCTAAAATTATTTCACATTGATACTTACCTTCACTAGTTTTTATAAGTACAATAGCTAACTACATAGATTTGAAAACTATATGCACATGACATGCAACAATTTTTGTAGTAATAACTATAATAAATTTGGATTATAAAGCTAGAATTCTTCTTTCTTACACTACTTTATGTTTTATTTATCAGTGTTATATTATCATCCAATTATAACTTATTTAACAAAGATATGCTATATAGACTACAATCATGTTGTGCCAATATAAAGTGTTTTAATTAATAGTGAGAAACAATATTATACATATATTATACCAAATTTGAGATTAACTATACAAAAGAAAAGAAACATATGATATATTATTAGTATGAATAAATAAAATAAAAATAAAAAGAAGAAAAAGAAAAAGAAGTTTAATTAAAATTCTTATTACCCATTTAATATTACTTCATTCTAATTTGCATCTCAATTCATGCTAAAACTCTTAATAGCACTATTTAAAGATTAGAAAAAATATAATGATTCAAAATCAAAACATTCGAGGCCAAAAGCACAAAGCCGAACTTGTTGACTAACGACAATTTGATATTGACCGTTAGTCATTATTTCATTTCCTTTAGTTGTGCTAAATCTGCTTAAAATCACAAACTTTAGGGACTAAATTTATTTGTGTTGAAATATTGGAGACACTTTAACACATAGGTCAAAAATTAGGGACCAAAACTGCAATTCTCTCATATTTCAAGGTAGTACTTATACACCTACAAAGGATATTAGATTAGGAAAATCCTTTCTTCTTTTATTTATATATTTATTTATTGACAAATTTCATACACACCAAAGAGACACAAATTCTAATTTTATCAGAGGAAAATCCTTCCTATTACTTGTCTAAGTTTTTTCTTTAAATTTTTTTAATAGGGGAGAATTAGGATTTAAGAATCAAGGAGGGGAATGGGGAATTAGAACATAGGACCTCAGTTCTCATGTTTCAACTTTAACTATTAAATCAAAACCTTTTCAACCCATTATTACTTGTTTACGTTGAGTTTTCTTTCTCTGATTTCTTCTTTTTTCTTTTTTCTTTTTTTTTTCGGATGCCAATTTAGTTATTTTGGCGTTTAAGAGGCTTAGAATTAAGTTAACTTTCTATCACTTGCTAAGGATGTGTTTGATAAAATTAAAGTATAAAATTGAAAATCTAAAATAAAAATATTTAAGTTGATGATTGATAAACCAATTTTTTCAAGATAAAGTTATATTTGTTTGATGATTAATTGGGTATGAACAATAACTTAACATATTCTTATACTAACTATCCATCCTTGCACTTCGTATGAGGTTTGCCGATTGCATATTGTTTGTGAATGGGAATAATTGATACTTATCTATGTGACAAAATATGATAATTTAAAAAATATTCTGTTTAGTGTAAGTAAGATGTAAGCATGAGATAATTTATATAGATTCTTAACTTAATGATGATTTTGTTTATACTTACGTTGATAGCATAAGAAGATGTGATTTGGTATAAACACACAAGTATACTAATGGGCAAAATATGGACATTGACTTTGGATAAGACATTGCAAAGATAGCAATGATTATTTATAACACACTTAAGTAACTCTATGGTTTGTAATGATCTATTTTGCACATTAGATAAGCTTAGAAATGATTTGTTTATAATATAGTTAATTAACTCTAAGGAACAATAATTATTACATAACAAAGATAGTACAAGCGTAAAAAGTACATAGTGAAAAGCATTCATCTTTTCTACACTGACAGTGTATATTGTTAACATTGGATAAATGACAACTACGCAAAATTTGAATTTTAAAATTGAACTTTTGCACACATGTCATTAATCCAACGGTGATAGTATATATACTATTAGTGTGTATAAGATTGACTCTAGTGAAAATATATTTTTTTTCACAAAATAGGAAGCATAGTTGCTTCAAATTATAATGCTTGCTAATTGATAGGATTAAAAACATTTGGTAATTGATCTTGGGTTACGTTTGCAAGTGCTTCAATACTCCAAATCCCATTTTCAGCAAGAGCAGATATTATGTTTAGGACTAGATAGAACAAAAACTTTTTTAAATAATAGTATTATACCATTATGATTGTTGTTCTTATGTACCAATGGATTTGTCTATAATAAAGTGCTCTAATTAATAGTGAGAAACAATGTGTTTGGATAGTAGATTATTTGGGATAATTTTTTGAAAATACTATAGCACATTTTTATATAATGTATATGAGATTACAAAATAGTTAAAAAGGTGTTATTTGATGTAAACAAATAAATTTTGGTAAATAATGCACTATCCAAACAAACCTAATATTATGCATTTATTATACAAAATTTGAGACTAACTGTACAAAAGAAAAGAAACATGTGATATATTATTAGTGTGAATAAATAAAATAAAAATAAGAAAAAAAATTAATTAAAATTCTTATTACCCATTTAACACTATTTCATTCTAATTTGCATTTTAATTCATGCTAAAACTCTTAATATCATTATTTAAAATTAGGGAAATATAATGATTCAAAGTCAAAATATTGGGGACCAAAAGTGCAAAGTCAAATTGTTGACTAACAATAATTTTGATATTGACCATTAGTCATTATTCCATTTCCGTTAGTTGTCCTAAATTTGATTAAAATGACAAACTTTGGGGACTAGATTTATTTTGGTTGAAACATTAGAGACCACTTTGGCACATAGGCTAAACATTGGGGGCCAAAACTGCAATTTTCCCATATTTTGGGATAGTATTTCTACACCTACAAAGGGTATTAGAGTAGAAAAATCCTTACTTCTTTTATTTATTTATTTGTTCATTGACAAATTCCACACACCGATGGGACACAAATTCGAATTTTATTAAAGGAAAATTCTTACTATTACTTGTCTAAGTTTTTCCTTAAATTATCTTTTTTAACGGGAGAGGATTGGAATTTAAGAATTAAGGAGGGGGAAGGGGGAATTAGAACGTAGCACCTAAGTCCTCAAGTGTCAACATTAAGCATTAAACCACGACCTTTTTTTTTGACGCACTGTTACTTGTTTAAGTTGAGTTTTTTCCCTTCGATTTCTTCTTTATTTTTCTTGTTTTCTTTTATGGGGATGCCAATTTAGTTTTTGTTTGGCATTAAAGAGGCTTAGAATTACGTTAACTTTCTATCACTCACTAAGGATATGTTTGATAAAACAAAAGTATGAAGTTGAAAATATAAAATAGAAAAAATATTAAGTTGATGATTGATAAAGCAATTTTTTAACATAAAGTAATATCTATTTGATGATTAATTGGGTATGAACAATAACTTAACATAGTCTTATACCAGCTATCTGTTGCACCCCATTTTTTGAAATAAAAGATTTTAATGAAAAAAATGTTTTTAATTTTAGAAAATAAAAAAGGGCCTAAAATGAGACCTTTAAAATGTGATAGTTTGGGTCCAAAAATATAGTCTAAATAAAGGGGGTTTTAGAAAAAAAGGGAGTCGCCATTTAGTATTAAATTTAAGCGTACCAAGTCACCAAAGAAATTTTAGAAAAATAAAAAATAAAACCATTTTTTAAACGATTTCAGGTCTTTGAAAATAAGAGAAAAAGGTTCGGAAATCACAATTGAAAAAATGGAAGGCAAAATGTTCAATTGGTTCAAACTTAAGGTACCCTTTTAACCTAGTCTAACCTACTTATGAGATTTAATCAAAATTTTCCTAATATAACTCTCAAACTTATCACATTTGGATGTTTGTATATGGATACAAATGTAAACTTAAAGGAAATATCGTAAAGGGTAAAATGTCCCTTCAAAACCTAGTTGGCACCAGTTGCATTAAATGCGAGACCTAAGATAATCCCTTGAAGGGATATGAGTATGCGAAGATGAGACTCGAGAAAAGAGAAATTAAATCTTATATAGGATTTCATAGAGCACATAGCCCATAGGCGTAATATTTAGATACAAAATTCTAAAAAAGTGGGTAAAACACACAAGTACATAAGATACATAAGCATAGAAGACCT